CAGTAGATCAAGTTTTAGAACATATAAGATGGGACCTGGTTTTATCAAAAGGTAGCTGGCTTCCCACATCCTCTAAAATAACAATCATCGATCCAAACTTTTTCCCTTGAAGACCCCAGTGACTGCCCGCCCTGCACCCCTCAAACCCCCAGGCCCAAACAGTTTTGAAGCTATGACATTCAATTTATGATTTGTTTTATTTTATCTTATGTAATTGAAGCTTCAGTCTTTGGATACCACTAGGAAAATTACCAGCATATGGAAATGCATATAAAATGACATGCAAAGCAATGCAAATTAATACAAAACATACATCTAAATTGTTTGGGAGAAGTCTGAGCTTTGACACTGAGAAAACCTGTTTTACTGCTCAACACCCGGGCAGATCTGAATTCGGGTTCAGACAGCTCCACAACTGGTGCTGGCACCTGCCCTGCCTGGGAGTCAGGTAAGGGGAATCCTGGCCTTAACTTGGCCCATCTGCCTTCTTGTTTGCTTGCTTTTTTCTTTTTAACTGAATCAAAGTAAAATACACAGTTACAAAGTTGTTCACGATTGGGTTTCAGTTATATAATGTTCCAACACTCGTCCCTTCACCAAAGTACATTTCCCACCACCAATGTCCCCAGTTTTCCTTCCTCCTACCCCCACCCCCCTGCCTGCCTCTATGACAGACACTTCTGCTCTCTCTCTCTCTCTCTCTTTCTCTCTCTCTCTCTCTCTCTCTCTCTCTCCCTCCCTCCCTCCCTCCCTTGTCTCCTTTTGGGCATTATGGTTTGCAATACAGATATCATTTCTAAGTATAATTGTCATATTGGTCCTAATTGCCTTTTGCACCCACCCCCCTCCAACTCAGCCCATTTGGCTCTATGACCTTGAACAGGGCCTCAAAGTCCTGTCAGATCTGGGAAAGAATTCAATGACTTCCTCATCATCAAACCACCTGCCCTATAAGAGTCTGATGGAGCACTTACTTTGCTCCAGGGCCACTGCAAAGAGCATGGCAAAAGGGCTTCGTGGACCAAGTTATGCAAGTGATACGTGCAATCTTGCACCCACTCACAAAGGGAGGCCATGGAGCATGTGTCCCTCCCTTCAGGCAGAAAGGCAAGGGGATTCTGGCAAAGCCACAGTCTGGGGAGGGACAGGGTCAGGTGGGTTACTGCATCAACTCCCCACAGGAACCCACTCAGGTCTGAGGTAGCTCACAGGTCTGATTTCCAACTTTGTTTCTCCTGGCCTTTAACTATCTGCAATCAACTGAATAAAACACAATTTCACATGCTGCACATTTGAGCTCTAGTAAGATGCTGATGGTTTATGATGTATGACCTGAGGTCAGAGAGCTGTACAGTCAGACTGTTGCTGTCAAGCACTCCAAAAACGGCAGGGGGTTTGGATATCCCAAAGGTTCCAGCTCTCCTTGACTCCCTCCATCCCATTCACATACAAATGCATGCGGCTTTTTCTGGTCAGAGAAAAACACATACAGGAATGCGCATAAGCAGACACACACACACACACACACACACACACACACACACACACACACAACACCATCCTAAGGCCCCCAGTGAAGATAGGATCCACATTTCTCCCTCACACATGCACCCGAGCTTTAAATGCCCCCCAAAACAGTTGACTCCCAACTTCTTTGGAGAACTCAAAAATTGGGGTCTCTTACATGCAGTCAATTATTATTTCTACTGGAGAACTTGAAAGGTAGCTCAGACTTGAGGTCCAGGATGCGTTGCAAGTGCTAGAGCAGTCGCTTGTGTGTACGAAACCCTGTATTTGGTCCCTGGCCACACATGACCCAAATTCTCCCCACTGGCACTAGCACTCTAGCAGATGTGGCTGGCCCAGGGGCACTGTCACGAATAACAAAAAATTAGTATTTAACTGAACTAAATGTGTCTTCTCTCCCCAAATCTCCCTTCTTCCCAGGCTCCTGTTCATCATCTACCCAGGTGTTGAAACCCCAACTTGTAGTCACCCCACTCACACACAAGTTGGCCACTGAGTCACCCTTGGATACACACAGAGTCAAACCCTTGGCCACAGTGCTCTGTGCAATTCCCTCAGCTTATATTGCCAGATCTTTTGTACCCGCTCAACCTGCCCTACTCAGGCACTTCTCAAACCCACAAAGCAACCACAGTTGAATTTTGCTTGGTTTTGTTTTGCTTGTTTTAAGGCCACACCTGGTGGTACTCTGGAATTATGCCTGGCGGAGCTCAGGGGCCCACATGGGGTGCCCGGGGATTGAACCTGGCTGAGCTGCATACAAGGCAAGTCCACTGCATACCTTCTGGTTCTAGAGTTTTATTTGGAATCTAAATCTCATCTGGATGCTCTCAGGTGTGAAACTGAATGGCCCGGCCCTCCGCCTTGGCATCCTTGAGCCCTGCTGTGCTCACCTGGTGCCAACTTCCTCTTGGGTCACCTGGACCTCTCCTGTTCTTGACCTCTCCTCGGTCACCCCTCCCATTCCCCAGGGTGGGGAATCCCCCCTTTTCCCCTTCTCCTTCCCCTTAGCTTACAGGGTTTCTACTCATCTTCCCACTATCAGTGCTGCCATGAAGGTGAGCCAGAGCTGTACCCCCAGAGTCCCTCCTGCCCCGCTTGGGCCTGACACACAGTGAGCATGTGGGAAGACTACCTGGAGGAATTGACTTCTCAACTTGACATCACAGAATCTGAGTCTTAGTAGGGCTTGTGTTGCACACCGATTCGATCTGCAGCACTGCATTTGGTCCCTGGAGCCCTGCCACGAGTGATCCCTGATCACAGAGCCGGGAGAAGGCCCCAAACACTGCTGGCTGTGGCCCAAAACAAACAAACAAGCAAACATTAGTCTTAGTGCTATCTTCCTGCTGATAGTCTTAGAAGGAAAATCTCTTGAAGCCGGCATAGTTTTACTTCTAGTTCATGGGGCTCTGCTAAGCTCCCCCACCCCAACCCTCCAACCCCCTAACACCAAGTCAAGCTTCCAACATGGGCTGCAGCAAATGCTGATGACTGCTGTCAGGGAAGAATCAGAAAAGTAGAATGTTTGAGTGGAGGATCGTGGGCGGATGGTGGCTGGAGGCCCTGGGACACTGACAAAGGGAAGCGGGCACTCTGGTGAGGTATAAGATGTTGGAAATGATGTATTCACGAAAAGTATAATTAATAGTATTGTAAATCCCAGTGCCTCCATAAAGAATGGTGACACGTACAGTTTCATATATGTCTCCTGGCACCCGAATGCACTCAAGGTCAGTTTTATAAATGATAACTATAACCTGTCTGTAGACAGGCCATAGATGATGTTAGCCTGCCTATCAGAGGGTGCTTAGCTTAATCAATGTCATAAAAGACTAAAGATCCTATCCTGCTATCCTGGCCTGGGTTGCTACCTACCTCTGCAGAGGACTGTAGTCTTTAGCAAATTACTGTAAACTGGCTCCCCGCTCCCCCAAGAAAAGTGTTTAAATAATACACAACAGGAAAAATTACTCCCTCATTCTTCATTCCTGAAAATTCTCCTTCCAGTCTTCCTGGACACTTGGAGGCACCACAACCAGTTCTTTGCCTGCTGTTTCTCTGCTAATATAGGTAATTCATTCCACAGCATATAAATTGTTGGTTTCTCAGAGAACTGTACTGCTCTGCAACTACTGATTTAAAAAAAACAATTTAAATAATATCTAAAAAAATAAATCTGTTAAGGCACTTATCACAGAAACTGCCAAAAGGGACAGTTCCATTCCAGAATGTCTCTTAGGTGGGTGGTTTTATTTCTAAGGGTATTCTAAGTTAAGAGCAAAAAGAGGGTCTGCTGTGGCTTACCAAACCGCACAAATCACATTAATATTTTGCCCAGCTCCCTTAATTTTCTGCTTTGCTGCTCTGGGACATGAAGGACTGGCTGGAGGTATCAACTCGTGCCTCGGGGCTACCACCACCTGGGGACAGCACGCAGTTTCCCAGACCGTAGCCGAGCGGAAAAAAATCTCCCCCTTGCGGGGAAGGCGCAGTTCTTCAATTTCCAAAACAATGCTCACTCCCGGGCGCCGCTGTCTGAGTTCAAAGAGGAGAAACCCGTGGAGTCCCAGTCTCAGCGCTCGGCTCCCCGAGGCTCTCCGGGCGGGATCACCAGGATCCACCACCTCCTCCACCCCCACCCCCGAGAGTTCGGTCCCAGTCAGCTCTGCGGCACCCAAACTTGACCTTTAAAAGCGCCGAAACTCTTACCTGCGGCTGACCGGTCCCGCAGCTGCTGGTCCCCCAACTCTGAAGAACACAGTCCCCCATCCCTCTCCACCTGCATCCCTTGGCCTAAATTGCAAGCTACGGGGTCCCCACGAGCGGCTTCTTCCTCCTGCTGCCCCGGGGCCCGCGAGTTTCAGGCCACGTCGCGGAGCCCAGGGGCTTCTGGCGGGTTCTTCAAAGAGGATGTCGGGTCCAGTCTCCGTAGTGCCGGGATGGGGAACCCTGCCTCGGTATCCCGGGACAGCGGGACCCTGCCCGGGAAACCCGCGCGCACAAGCTCCTGCTCCGCAGTCGGGGAGCATGCACCCCCCTCCATACACCCGGTGCAGACGCGCCGGGGCACCCCGGGCCTCCGCGGGACGCAGTCCCCACAGCGAGCCACCCGTGTCCCGAGCTCGCGTGGGGAACTTTGCAGCGTCCCGGGGCGTGCAAGTTGCAGGGTGTGCGTGGTGCGCGCCCAGGTCGCCCTCCCCCCAGTCCCCCGGTGGCCCCCCATTTCTCTCCCCAGGCCTGACAACGCAGAGCCGGGGCAGGAATGGAAAGTGGCGCGGTGGGATGCGGTGGAGAGGTAGGGGAACGGGGGTTGGGGGTCTCCTGCCCGGATCAAAAAGAAGCTTCCCCGGGGGCAACGCGGCGCCCAAGTTTTCCCCGCCGGTAAGTGAGTCACCCCACGGTTTGGGACACCCCTGCAAATCCTGCGCCCCGAGTGTCCCTTGCTGGAATGCGGGGCCAAGTCGACTTACGGATGGGGAGCAGGGGAGCCCCGATCGCGGCACCCGGCGGCTTGGAGAGGCTGCCCAAGCGGGAGCCCCGGGGCTGCTCTCCCGGCTCCCGGCCCCTGCGCGGCAGCCGCCTCCTCGTCCTCCTTCTCCTCCTCCTCCTCCTCCTCCTCTGCCTCCTCCTCCCGGGGACTTCTCCCTCGGCCGAGCGGCCCCCGTGACGTGGAGGGGGGAGGAGGAGCGTCGCCGCGGCGCTCCCGCAGGGGGAGCTCGGGGCCGCCGCTGCGCTCCGGGGTCCCCACTCCGCGCCCGGGACAAAGTTCCCAGGCGCGCTCGGCGCGCGGCGCTGGGTCCCGGCCCCGGGGCTCTCTCCCGGGCCGCGGCGCGGGCTGGGAACCCGCGGGGGTGAGAGCCACACGCGAAGGGACCTGCGGCGGCGAGCGCCCCAGTGGCCGGCCCAAAGTCGCTCAGAGGACGGTGACAAAGCAAACTCACCTCGGCGACTCCTGGCTTCCTCGCCGAGGCCGGGCGGGGCGACCCGCGAGTGGCCGAGCCGCCAGGGACGCTCGGGTCATCGCCCAGACGGGGCCAGAGTCCCACGCAGCCTGGGGAAATAGCACAGGGGAAAAGGCGTGGGAAAGCGCAGCCTCTTACCCCGTCAGTCGGTCCGAAGTTGTTTTATCCTTCGGTGCAAGCTTGTCAAACAGACGCTCGAGGGCTTCCTCTGAGCCGTAGGATGCGCGGCTCCGCGTCCAATCCCGCTCGCCTGCGAGCTGCAAAAGAACCAACAGCCCCTTGAGCCACCCGGCAACAGCCTGGACGCGGCGTTTGTTCACAGAGGGGTCAGGTGTCCACGCTAACTCCGTGTGTTGGCCGGGGACGGCCATTCCCGCCCTTCTAAACGCCCCCATAACCCCCACCCCCGCGGTACCTATCTAATGGTATGCTGCTCCGTTAGTTCCGTCTCTTCTTGACAGCCCCTCGTCAGAGGCCGGGTGGTGGGAAGCCCGGAGGCCGGGTGGGATCTGTCGGAACCCGGCTGGACCAGGGGTCCATTGAATTACAAACCCCGCACGGGACCCCACAGCCTTTAGCCCAGTACCCAGAGTCTGCCCGCAGTAGCAGTAGAGATAATGAACCTATCGAGCCTTACAAAATATATGTTCCCTATGCTGCAAGAGCAAAGATTTTTATTTGTGTGTTTATTTAGGCTTTTTGGCCACACCCTGCTGGGCTTACTCATAGTGGTGCTCTGGGGGCCATAGGCAGTGGGCAAGCAAGGATTCCTCCGCTTTCTTACCTTGGGGAGCCAGGATTTGAATACTCATTTTGCATTTTCCCACTGGCTGCTTTGGGTCCTCTCTGGGGCAGCGGAACTTCCCCTTCTCTGAAAAGTCAATAATTCCCCCTGTATGATGATGAAAATTAAGGCTGCAGAAGCCCAGCTTGGGTGCTATTCTAAAGTACCTTCTGTAGAGAACACTCTCCAGTCCCAGAGCTCCTTTGAGGGAGGTCTATTTTAATTTTAGGGGAGAAAGGAGGCAAATGCAGTGAAATAACTTGTAAGTGTGAGAGCAGAGAGGGTTGTCCTGCAGTCCCTGCTGGAGTGGCTGAGGACACTGAGGTCTTAGGCCTGGAACTCAGAAGGCCTCTAGACAAACTCAGGCCTGACTCTCACTGGGGCCTTCTGGTTATCTCAAGTTAGGGGTGTTAGAAACTGGCCCCCTAAACTCCAGCCTCCTGCCCCCCTGCCCAACTCTACACAAACACATATGCACAACACCTCCCAACTTCACTAACTGTAGTCTTTAGTTTTGTGGTGCCAGGAATTGAACTTAAGACTTCCCAGATGCAAGGCAAGTGCTTGACCACTGAGCTATATCCCCAGCTCACACTTTCTAGTTATGAATAATGTTGTTTTGGGGGGTTTTTTTGTTTGTTTTTTTGGTTGGTTGCTTTTTGGGCCAAACCCAGCAGTACTCAGGAGTTACTTCTGGCTCTGCACTCAAGAGTCACTCCTAGAAGTGTTTGGGGGAGCCTATGGGCTACCAGAAATGGAACCTGGGTCATCCATGCGCAAGGCAAATGTTCTACCTGCAGAATAATACTGTCTTAAGGTAGTTTCCTTTTGTTTACTTGCTCCCCGTCTCCCAATTCCCAAATCAACCTCATACAATTTTTTTTAACAGTGCTTTCCCCCAAGCACTGTTAGTTATGTCACACTAACACGCAGACCACCCACACACCACCCCAAATAAAGCAAACTGAAACAAGAGCAACTTTAACATAGTTTGTAAACTGTTCTCAATTGTTCTATATACTCTCTGTCACTGCTCCCGGTGACTCAATGTCCTTCTCTTAACACCCAGTGTTCATCAGTGCCCCACCCCCACCTTTAGAAGACCATTGCCCCCAAATTGAGCAGTGGTCCTCAAATGCAGATGCAATGCAGGCCCCTGCTACAGCATCTCAGGATTTGTTTCCTGTTTGGGGGAAAACTAAAAAAATAACGTGTGACTTGAGCAAGCAGAATGGATTCTTTCACAATACTGGAGGCCAGGAGCCAGAAATCAGGAAGCGAGGAGAACCAAGCTCCCTCAGAAGACTCAGGCGAGTTTCCTTCCTTTGACTTGGGCCAACTGTCACTATCCTTTCAGGACCCCAGATGTGACTTAGAGACACCTTCATCCACTATGTCTTTTTTTTCTTTTTTATAATTCAGGGAAGCATCTTTTTTTTAATTTATTTTCAACTTTTTAATTTTAATTATATATATATATATATTCATCCACTATGTCTTAACTTGGTTCTATCTACACAGACTTGAGCTAGGACTTGGTGGACCCGCCAGGCATTGTGGGAGTGAAGGGGAGGATCATCAGGGAGACTAGTAACTTAACTGGTCATTTTAAATGTCCTCAGTGAAAAAGGTATCCGGTCAACATAGATCATGGAATGACTGGGATTGGAGATATGGGAGATAAAAGAAATCTCTTTGCCACGTCTCCTCTGCCCACACATGAGAGGATAGGAGAGGCCACAGGCATGAGACCAGAGACCAAGGAAAGTGAGGGGACAGGAAGCTTCTGGAGTCCAGCTCTAAAGAGGCCTGGGGACAAGTTAGAGAGTGGTAGGCCCCAGCCTGGGTAATTATCCCAAAGGGTCCACTATAGATTTCAGGCCAGGATGCGGGCACTGGTCAAAAAATGGCACAGGAACAGGAACAGGACGCTGTATGCCAGAGGTGAACAGATGGTGCAGGAGAGGACCAGGGCATCATAAACGGGACTGACCATCGAGGGACAAGACAAGTGACATCATACACAGGCAACAGGAAAGATCTGGGCATAGGAAAAGGCTCTGGACACATCTATTTCAACTGCAGTAAACTGTAACTTAAACATCTGAGTTCTGTATGCAAACCTTTCACATAATACTCAAGAACCCAAGAGCTCAGGAATAAATCCACCTTTGCAGTAATAGTAAAAGCTTCAAAAGTCACTGTTAAAAAAATGTGCTGCTTGACCTGAGGAAGCAAGGAAGTAAAAAAAAAAAAGTAAATATCTCACAAAACTGGAGATTCTTCCAGCCAACCCTTTTGGACCAATCGACAGTTCTTGGCTAAACGTATGCTCTGTTCAAGGGATTCTGCCAAGGCAGCCAGCCATCCTTGTGAATACTAGTAAGAAACTTGTCTCCAAGTAGCAGGAGAGCCAAGAGCCTCCTGGAAGGAAGAGTAGGAGGGGCAGAAATAGAGGCTCAGCTCAACTGGAGACTGAGACTCAAAGGGGCAAAGCACGTACTTGCATTCAGGGCTCTGGGAGCACCATGGTACCTTGTGGGACCCTGAGCACAGCCTCCCAGGACTATCAGGACCACCCTGCCCATGCCTGAGGAGACCTTCTCCCTAGTAAAAAACTTAGGAGAAACATAATTTTTAAAATTGTAAACTTTTGGTTTCGAGACCAAACCTGGTGATGCTTGGGGTTACTCCTGGCTCTGAACTTAGGATTCACTCCTGGCAGTTTTAGGGAACCTTGTGGGATGCCAGGGATCAAACATGGGTAAGCAGCATGCAAGGCAAGCACCCTACTGGCTGTACTATTGCTCCAACTCAATAAATATTTTTATAAAGCACAATTTGCCCACAAAGGATGACATACTGGAAAGATTCTTTTTTCTGAGGTTGCATTGCCGAAATGAAGCTTCAAGATTACAAATATAAGTGAGCAAGCAATAGAGTTTGTCCTGTTCCTCACAGATGGTGGAATTTTTTTGGTGGGGGTGGAGTGACAGTTAAGGCCACACCCTGTGGTGTTCAGGAACCGCTTGTGGCTCTGCTCAGAGTGAACACCTGGAGGTGCCCTGGGATTAAACTGGGGTCAGGTTCTTGCAAAGCAGCGCTCTCACTCCTGTGTCACCTCCTCATTCTCACCACTCTATCTCTTATGATTACATTTCCCCTTGGCTCTTGTCCCGACTTCTACTCTTAAAAGGTACTCTCATGTGTTGTGTGTTTGATGCTTCCAGGTCCATTGAGGGATGGAGGGGAGACAGACAGGTGTGAAGCTTCTCACATTCCTTTCTCCACTTCCCGCAATTTCCCCCTAACCCACTCTCACACCCAGCCCAGCCCTCTATAAAGCACTCATCCCACCAAGGAATTTTTTTGGAAAGCAAGTCCACTATTTTCTCAGGGTGCTAGCACCTGAATACACTCCCCCCCCCCCACCAGTTCTTGAATTTTGGCCTTCAAGAGGTAAGCATCTGAACCATGCAAGCATTTGGTGACAAAAATAACTACCATATTAAGTACAAGAACACGGTGAATTACTGGACTACATTAATGACATGCTGAAATGGCACAGCCATGAACATGCGCATGAGCCAAAAGAGATGGGTTCTCTCTTTGCATTAATATTATTTTATCATTATGATGATTTTTATTGGTTTGTTCTTTTTTATTTTTCTTTTTGGGTCACACCCAGTGATACACAGGAGTTACTCCTGGCTCTGCACTTAGGAATTATCCCTGGCAGTGCTCAGGGGACCATATGGAATGCTGGAAATCGAACCCGGGCTGGCCACGTGCAAGGCAAATGCCCTACCTGCTGTGCTATCGCACCATCCCCTATGATGATTT